AGATCAAGGTGGGTTTGGTTACCAAAAATCACTAACAGTAAAGGACCCAAGCAAGTATGGGTACCTAAAGTTAATTAATCTTTTTTGTAGGATGTTTGGTACATCGATAGTGGTTGCTCACGCCACATGACTAGAAATAAATCATATCTAGTGAATTTCAAAGAAATCGATGGACCAAAAGTTATATTCGGAGGAAATCAAAATTATGGAATCACAAAAGGAGTTGGCACGATCAAGAAAAATGGATTGAAGATTGAAGATGTTTCTTTCGTTGAAGGCTTAAAATTTAATTTGTTGAGCACTAGTCAATTTTGTGATAAAGGCTATCTTGTAGAATTTTCTAAAGATAATTGCCTAATCAAAAATGAGCTCACAAATGAGATTGTTCTATCTGGAAAAAGACGAAAGAATATGTATGTTGTTGATTGGAGTACAAGCAAAGATTCAGTGTGCTTAATGGCCATAAATTCGAATGAAGCTAATTGGGAATGGCACAGAAAGCTCAACCATTTAAACTTCAAGACTATCAATCAGCTTGCAAAGAAGAATCTAGTAGAAGGCTTGCCAGATATTATCTTCAAGAAGGACCAAGTGTGTGATGCATGCCAACGCGGAAAGTAAATCAAATCATCATTCAAATCAAAGACACACGAGTCAACGTCAAGACCGCTAAGCTTACTACATATGGACTTATTTGGACCGGTTGATCCAATAAGTGTAAGTCGTAAGAAATATACTCTCGTTGTTGTTGATGATTTTTCTAGGTACACTTGGACCGTGTTTCTCAAGAAGAAAAATGAAGTTGAGCAAGTTCTACCGAAGCTGTTGAAGCAACTACAAAATGAGAAAGAATTGCAAATATCAAAAATAGTACGAACGGATCGCGAAACCGAGTTCGTGAATGGAGTTATACAAGCTTTTTGCAATTCATATGGAATTTCTCATCAATTATCTGCCGCAAGAACACCACAACAAAACAGTGTTGCCGAAAGAAGAAATCGGACGCTCAAAGAAGCCGCACGAGTGATGATTAGTGTTGCCGGTCTCCCGAAACGATATTGGGCGGAAGCTATCAACACTGCTTGCTACACGCAAAATCGAAACATGATCCATAAGCAGTACTAGAAGACGCCATATGAGCTTTATAATGGGAGAAAACCAAATATTGGTTATTTTCATATTTTTGGATGCAAATGTTTTATTCATATTAATGACAAATTGCATCTAAAAGCTTTTGATGAGCGTGCAGATGAAGGAATTTTTCTAGGATATTTGACTACCAGCAAGGCGTTCAGAATTTTGAATAAAAGATCAATGGTGGTTGAAGAATCCATACACGTGGTATTTGATGAAAAATCACAGATCAATAATGGCGTTCTGGACGAAGAATTCGAACAAAATGGTAACAAGTGTCATATTGATTTTTGTGATACTAGTGATACGTGTGAAGATGATATTTTGCAGGGAATGGATGAATTGGAAATTAATTCTCTAGAAAATCCCATCCCTCATCCAGAAGAAGTTGGAAATTCTTTTAATAATAATTTTGGGAGTGATGCCTCACGTGGGAATGAGGATGCAGTACGGGTCCCAGTTTGTGATCAAGTTACTGGTGAAGTTGGTAATCAATTTCAAGAAGAATTAAATGTGGAAATTTGAACCAATTCTCCCAGTACACAACAAATGGATCCACCCAGTACCATGCACCCATTTGAACCAGATTTAAGATGGCTCAAAAATCACCCTCCAGAATTAATTATTGGGAATATTCATGAAGGCGTGAAAACAAGATCGTCTACCATGGAAGCATTGTTCACGTGTTATCTATCTCAAATTGAACCAAAAGAAGTTGACGAAGCTCTCAATGATCCGGATTGGATAAATGCTATGCAAGAGGAGCTCGATCAATTCAAAAGAAATGATGTTTGGGAACTTGTTCCAAAACCGCCGAACCACAATGTTGTAGGAACCAAATGGGTGTTCCGGAACAAAGAAAACGAAGAAGGCGTGATTGTTAGGAATAAAGCAAGGCTCGTTGCAAAAAGGATACTCTCAAGAAGAAAGAATAGATTGTGATGAAACTTTTGCACCGGTGGCTCGACTTGAAGCAATCAGAATTTTCCTAGCCTACGCCGCACACAAAGATTTCACCGTTTATCAAATGGACGTGAAAAGCGCATTCTTGAATGGTCTACTCGAAGAAGAAGTTTATGTCGAACAACCCCAGGTTTTGAGGTAAAAGGCGAAGGTGATAAAGTCTACAAACTTAAAAAGGCATTGTATGGGTTGAAACAAGCACCTCGAGCTTGGTATGATACTTTGTCAATGTTCTTGATAAGCTGTGGATTCACCAAAGGCCTTGTTGACAAAACTCTATTTAGAATTCAAGATGGTGATCATATTTTATTAGTGCAAATATATGTTGATGATATTATTTTTGGAAGCACTAACAATTCTTTGTGTGAGAAATTTTCGAAGCTTATGCAGAATAAATTTGAAATGAGTATGATGGGTGAATTGAATTACTTCTTGGGCTTACAAGTCAAACAACTGAAAGAAGGAGTATTCACCAATCAAGCAATGTACACCCGTAACTTGATAAAGAAGTTTGGCCTTGATGGAAAATCATCGATCAAAATTCCAATGAGCACTTCAATAAGGCTAGAAAAAGATGAAGATGGAAAGGATGTCGATTAAACAAAATATAGAGGAATGATTGGTTCTCTTCTATATCTTACTGCAAGCAGGCCGGACATTTCTTATGCTGTGGGAGTGTGTGCAAGATTCGAAGCAAATCCAAAAGAAAGGCACCTCGCCGCAACAAAGAAGATCATACGATATCTGAAAGGCACAATCAATGTTGGATTGTGGTATCCAAAAGGTACAGATTTTACTCTAACGGGTTTTTTAGATGCGGATTTTACAGGTTGCAAAATAGACAGAAAAAGCACTTCCGGGACATGCCAGTTCTTGGGGGGAAGGCTTGTTTCTTGGTTCAGCAAAAAGCAAAATTCCATCGCAACTAGTACCGCCGAGGCCGAATATATTGCTGCAGGAAGTTGTTGTGCGCAAATTTTGTGGATGAAGCAACAATTGAAGGATTACGTAGTTAATTGTGATGACGTTAGTATTTATTGTGATAATACTAGTGCAATCGCTATCACTCACAATCCGGGGCTTCACTCAAGAACCAAACATATCGACATTCGACATCACTTCATAAGGGATCACGTTGAAAAGAAAAATCTGAAGATCGAATATATCCCTACGGAAAACCAAGTTGCTGATATTCTCACAAAGCCTTTATGCGAAACGAGATTTTCTACCTTAAGGCACGAGTTGGGAATGATCGAAATGAGCTAAGTATCACTGGACTTAATCTCTCAATTTAAATTGATACTTGTGCTCAAAATAAATTGTTTTATATGAATAAATTGTTTTATGTATTTGCATGTATGTTTTTATTCGAAATTTTTGTGTAATAAATTTGCAATATGTGTTAGGAAGTTATTTGTGTATTTGCATGTGTTATTTAACGTGAGATCATATGCCATGCAAATTAATTTGATAAAATGTGCAATTCGTGTTTTATTTGATAATTAGTTTAAAATTGCATGTTTTAATGTGTTAATCAGTTTTTGAGTATGTGTTCATGTTTCTGTAAATTAACTAACTTGTTTGCATGAACAATTTGCTCTAAAAAGTGATTTACCGTGTTTTTTTAATAATATATATGTGTTATGTGCAAAATGTGATTTAAAGTGTTAATTGTATATGTGTTTCGTATATATGCAATGTATGTGATATAATTTACAATAAAATGTTTTAGAAATCTCGAAGTTAATATTTTTGTTAGTTTCTAAAATATTTTGGAATCTGATTTGTGTGCTAATTTTATAAAGATGTTTCTAAATGTTAATTTGGAATATGAATGTTAATTTTGTTAGTTTCCAAAATGTGTTTAATTTTTGATTGGAAATTACCGTGTATGAGTTTAATATAATTGGTATGTGTGATTAACTATTTGTGGAGTAATTTTTGCTACTAACGAGATGTTTGAGTGTTATTATGTTTGTGGTACACGATTTTGAGAAGGAAATCAGGAGATAAAGGAGGAAAATCAGAGTTTAATTGGGTATCAAACATCCACCCATAAACTCCTACCCTTTCTAAACCTCCACCCAACCTAAAACCTCCCCCCATAATCCTCTCCTAGATCAAATCTTTCCAAACTGATATTCTCTCTCTCTCAAATCGGCACCCCATACCTTCTCTCAGCTTAATAATATCAATCGTCTCCCACAGAGCAATTAAAACCTAACCCCTCATTAAACTCTCCCCTCTAAACCGTTGCCCATCAAATCTCTTCCCATCCACCGCCATCTCAGCCAATGAGAAGTCTTGCCGCTATCCGTCACATCCCATAAACTCTAAACGACGGTAAGCAATATTTACTCTCCATCTGCAAGTGAACCGATAAGTCTCCCTGATCGCCCTATTTATTGGGAGACAGCCGAGACATACCTGTTGTGGAAGATTTTGTTGTTTGAAATTTTTGCAGGTGCAAGATAGTGTCCAGCGAGTCTCAGGAAAACGAGATAAGGAAGCAAAGTCAGGAGAACTTGGGAGAAAGTTCTCAAACAACCCCGAAGGGCAACACGAACGGACGGACGTAAAACGGCAGGAGAAACACCAAGCAACCCTCTTGTGTTAATATCTGAAGAAAAGGAGCAAGAAAAGGAGTCACCACAAATTCAACCAGTTGTAGAATCACCACCGCGTGAACCTGGCTTCATATATGAAGAAGATGGTGATAAGAACTCGTTGGCAGAACAAGACAAGATGGAAGGGTCTGAGCCTCCATTCATGAAATTCTCACCAGTTGTTCAACCGGATAGTTATGCTGAGATTCTGAATATGAGCAATTCAGAATATCTCCATTATTTAAAACAACTGACTTTTGGACCAGTGCTACCTCCTCCTGGTTTCGGTTTCGATGGGCTCTATCAACCTCCACCTCCACCAGAGCCTCTTCCGAAGTTTCCACCAAGTCTGCCAGTTCTTGCACCTCTGCCACAAGAAGTTCCTGCTCCTCCACCGCCTCCTCAGCAGATGCTTCTCAACCCGTTCATCCGACCCCCTGTGGACTTTACTAGGTTTTTCAATCAAACCTACTCATCTTCAAGCTCTAACGGGTCAATGTTCGAGGAGAGTGAGTCCAGTGGTGACTCAGGACCAAGATATGGTCCTTCACCACCAGGAGATTATGACTCAGAAGACTGCATGAGTACTGGTTTCTCTGCCTGTTGAAGAAGTGTTATGTTATCTCTCTCTCTCTCTCCTTCTCTGTAAGAAGGAGATAAATAAAAATGAATGTTTTTGCTTCTGGTTCTCTCTATCTCTCTCTCCTACAAAATGAAAAATCCCTACGTATATAAAAAGATCAAAAGTTTCGTAGCCAAAAAGATACACAAAAAATATATGAATAAAAACAATAAAAAGGAATTTAAAAAAAAATTGTTTATGGCAACAAAAAGGGATAAAAGATGAAAAGAATTAAGAGGAGAAGTGTCAGTACGAGAAGAAGTAAGAGAACAAATGTCAGAAGAAAGTAGAAGAGATATACCAGTGGAAGTTGCAGTAGAAGTTGCTACTGAGAATAGGCAACAGATCACAGAGAATTTATCCAGTGTACTGCAAGTACAACATACTGAGTCTACCATGCCTACCATGGACCCTGTTCTAGAAAATGAAGAATTATTTGCAGACAATTACACGAGTATAGAAGTCTTAGAAGAACAAATTGGTGATCTCAATCAAGAAGTCGAATCACCTAAAGAAGAAGAGATGCAACTTATTGATACAGTTGTTCTCACAGATCCGAATAGAAGTCCATTCGGATCCCCTCAAAACTTTGTGCAGATGAATGATAAGATGATGGCATATTTTCATCCTTATTTGCCAAAGTAGCCGAATCCAGTGATGTTGTTTGTCAAACGATTGGAGAAAAGTTGGTTGAACAAAATCAAAGGATGGATCAACAACACACGGATACACGAGTCAATCTGAAGGAATTAATGGAGCATCAAAATATTTTGAAGACCCAGATTGACAAAGCAGAAAGAATTTTGAAAGGAGAATTGACAAAAGGCTTACTTGAAGTGATTAAGCTCATGAAGAAGGAACGAGAAGCAGCTGAAAAGATTAACAATGAACGCCACTTGCGACAAGTCAACGCGATTCAAGACCAAGAAAGCCGAATCAACAAACTTGAAGTTGAACTCGCAGTTACAACAAACAAGCTGGACAACATACAAACCGTTTCCATTGAAACGCACAATAGTGTTGAAACTGTGAAGGCAAACCAAGACCGAGATTTTAAGACCCTTGCATTTTTGGTTGATAACGCCAAAAGGGGGGAAGAAATTCTCAGTCACTTGGCTTTGCAACAACAAGAATTTATTCTTGGAAGCCAACAACAGCCAGTAATGTCTACTCAAGGTAGAGGCTGAAACCGCGGACAATCCTCACAAGGACCATCTCCGATTGGTTTTGCTCAGTTCGCGAATCCCTGTCTTGGTACGAGTACATCAAAGGTTGCTGAACAGCGTGGCTGGTTTGAATGCTCTAAAGGTACCGCCACTCAACAGCCAGTAATGTATTCTTGGAAGCCAACAACAGCCAGTAATGTCTACTCAAGGTAGAGGCTGAAGCCGCGGACAATCCTCACAAGGACCATCTCAGATTGGTTTTGCTCAGTTCGCGAATCCCAGTCTTGGTACGAGTACATCGAAGGTTGCTGAACCGCGTGGCTGGTTTGAATGCTCTAAAGGTACCGCCACTCAAACAACAGTATGGACCAAGGAAAATCTACCAAGCATGGTCAAGAAATGGCCTGCAGCCGATCAAGCCCAATGGATCTAGGAGAAGAATAAAGAAGAAGAAGGCAAAAGGAAAAGAACCGAGATGTGGTATGAATTAAGAGATTTCACTGGAAATATGGGCATGAATCTTGGAGAAGAAAGAAGCTTCGAAGAATGTGTCTTATGGTGGGAAAACGGAGTTCTTCCGGGCAATAATATCAAAGAAGCTTTTGGACATTACATGGCCGGACAGATTACAAAGAAATTTCAGAATGCAAAGTTTAATGATGATTTCTTCAAGCTCAGAGAACATGTCAAGGAAATTTTGAAGAAAGACTCTGGTGTGAAGAAACCCAGAAGGTAATCTGAAAATTCTCTTAAGCTGATATTTTCTATTTTCGAACCTCTGTTGCGTTTTTCTCTATAAATTCGAAATATATCAATAATAATTTCCCATGGTCTACTTTGAGTCTTTAATTTTGATTGTTTAATGTAATTAGACTTTCGTGAATTAAAAGACAAGAAATATGTCATACGCACGACAAAATTAAAAATTGATGATGATCAAAATAAAACTAATTCAAGATGCGTTTAGGAGCTTGTCTAAAAATTTAATTCACAAGTTTCTTTTGATTGTGTCTAGAAAACCATTGTTAAACTCATCTTGGCTTTGTCAAATAAAATTGAGCAAAAAGATTATTTTTCAAAGACTTAAAGCCATTGACTGAGTATAGGTTTTGGCATTATCAAAAGGGGGGAAATTGTTAGGAATAAAGTGTAATGGTTTTGATATGCCAAATATGTATTTGTAGATCCCCCAATTTTATTTGTTAGGCCTAGTAGAGTCTTAGACCATGATCAGGAATTTATTTAAGTTGGAAAAGAGAAAAACAGAGGAAGATGCATGAAAATAGAAGAAGAAGATATCAAGCCTAAAATCAAGAGTTTGTCTGGACAAAATGACAAATTGAAGAAGAAGATGAATGATATGAAATCACGTCAATGCTACTCATAGAAGATATCCCAGAAGAATTTTCGTGAAGAAAATTAATATTGGAAGAATGCATGAAATTGACTTGGAGATCAAGCATCTATGGAAAGAAAGGAGTACATCAAAGACGATTGGAGATTTAATCAATAGTTGTATGGACGAAGTGGAAGATGCCTGATATATTATGCGAAATCGCTCAAGTTTGAGAAGCCGAGTTTGAAATTGGGAGCCAATTTCAGAGAAATTGAAATTGGGAGCTAGTTTCACATGAGAATTAATTCAAGTTGGGAGCCAATGTAAAATTGAAATTGGGAGCCAATTCAAGTTGTAGTATGGGATGCAATTTCAATTTGGGGACCAATTAAAAGAAGACATTGAGAAGCAATTGAATTGAGATGAAATTCAATACCAGAAGAAGTCTGGGAGCCAATTTCTAAGTCATGGTCAATATAATTCAAATTGGGAAGTAATTGAAGCACCAGGAGAAGTCTGGGAGCCAATTGCAAGTCAAAGTCAATTGGAAGCCAGTTACAATGGAGAAATTTAGATTGGGAGCCAATTGAAAGTCAAAGTGAATTGGGAACCAATTACAAAGGAGAAATTCAAATTGGGTTCCAATTACAAGTCAATTGAAATTGGGTGTCAATTACAAAGGAGAAATTCAATTTGGGAGGAAGTTCAAAGCCAGTTTGAAACATCAGAACACCCAGACGTGAGAATGAAGAAGATGAAGAAAAACTTATAGTGAAGCATTTCTCAGAAGGAAAAATACTAGTCTAACTAGTATGGGATTAAATTGAAGAATATTTTTTGAAGTATTTAAATCCCAAGGACCACTTCAGAGCTGATCAGAGAAGCCATTCTACACAAAACTGAGACCCAGATATTTCCAAGAAACGTGAGAAAACCAGAGGAATATCAGATGAAGTTTGGGAACTCATTTGCATGAAGTTGAAGCTCTACCAACGGCTAGCTTATCTCTTCTGACACTTTGCCAGAAGATAAGATAAGATCTCTGACAAAAAGACACAAGAATTCAAAAATGAGATCGTCTCTTTCCCAAGGGCAGATCCTCATTACCAGCTATAAAATGATTAGCCACTTTTTTTCTAAGACCAAAATAAATATTTTCCAAATTAAAACATTTTCTTTTAAGATTTTTTGTGCTCATCGGCGCCTGACCCTGAGATGTGGATCATCCAAGGCACATTAGCTTGGTGTACTCCTCCTGTTCGAACCGGGGTTTTAAACCAAACTCCTCCTCAGGAGGATAGATGGGGCGATTCAGGTGAGATCCAATGTAGATCTAACTTTCGATCACTCGTGGGATCCGGGCGGTCCGGGGTGAAGATATGAAGACTTGAAGATGCGGGGAACACACGAGCATAGAGCAAAGGGCAAAAATACATTGAGAAAAAATCTCATTTGGTACAGAGCATACCAAAAGAAATCTTCAAGTGAAAATTGTGAGAAAAGAAAAAGAACTCAGAACGCTTCAAAAAGAGAAATATTCTGAGAGTTCAAAAGCAGAGCAAAACAGAGCATAAAAATCAAGTGCTTTACTTGATACTTTCAAAGAGAGAAAACACTCAGAGCTATCATGGGAAAATCATCAAGAGTGTTTAATCTTCATCAAAGAGACTAAGCGCATCATTGAAGATCAACTACAGAGTCTCGAAGTTGAAAGCAAGACAAAACTTCTTTTGGAGCAAAACAAGAGAAGGGAGGAAAGTAGCACGGAGCTGTGAAATCCTGGATTGTCACACGGAGCTGTGAGATCCGAAGCATCAGTGTCGGAGGTGGGGGGGAGGGGGGAAAGTAACGCGGAGTCGTGAAATCCTGGGATAGTAGTGCGGCGACGTGAAACCCGAAGCAGCACTGTGGTGTCACTGGGCGTGATTAGTGCGGGCTTGGTGATGAAAGCATTAGATCACGGAATTCATTGTATCTTGGAACCAAGAAGTGGTGGATATAGTGAATTGCTCTTGCAGATAAGAGCAAGTGGAGTAGGAGGATTACACCACCTCCGAACCACTATAATTGTCTTGTGTTCTTTACTGCTTTCTTTACTTACTTCTCTTGCTTGCTTCTCACGATATGTACTGCTCACATCTCACACACACTTTATATTTATTTATTTCCACTGTGCACCATACTCTAACAATCTAGTTAAGAGTTTTGGTTTATCTCTGGCTTAGCAATTGTTATGCTGTGCGAAAAAGTTTGAAAGTCTATTCACCCCCCCCCCCTATAGACTTTCACCTTACCTCGTTTCGGACCAACAATTGGTATCAGAGCGGGTGCCTATCTGAGTCAGAATTTGTCTTTAACTTATACCAACAATTGGTATCAGAGCCTGTAGCCTATTTGAGTCAGCTTGTCTTTCAACAAATACCAATCTTTGGTATTAAAACACGTTGCCTAATTGGGTCAACTGTTTTTGACTGCTAGGCTGATCCATTCTACAAAGTGTGTGATTGGATTAATCTTTCATATTTCTCATGATGATGATGAAGAAAGATTTAGCTCAAAATCTATTATTCTCACTTGATAAATTTGATGATTAGAAAGTTCGTATGCAGGTACACTTATCTACTTTAAACGATGAAATGTTGGACGTTATTTCCACTGGCCCTATCAAAATATTAAAATTCAATACGACGTTTATCCTATCCCCGGATGCTCCACAGTACGTACAAAAACCTAAACCCGAATGGACATCGGATGATAGAACACGGAACAATCTTGACAATATTGCTAAGGATATTCTATTCAAAGCCGTGGATGATACAATATTTCTGAAGATCCGAATGTGTGCTACTGCTAAAGAAATATGGGAAACTCTCATCAAGAATGGCGAAGGAGATGAACAGGAGAAAGACAATAAGCTCACAACCGCCATGAAGAAGTTCGAAGATTTCAAAATGCTCTCAAATGAAAGTGTTGCAGACATGGAAGCCCGAATGATCAAAGTTCTTGGAGAAATTAGTGATCTTGGCAAAAATATTAGCCAAAAAGAAATTAATCTCAAAATTCTACGAGGCTTACCATCTGCATGGGATATGAAGGTTACGGCTATGCGCGATCACCGAGATCTAAGAATGTTGTCAACAAACAAATTATTTAGTGATCTAAAAGCATATGAGTTCGAAATGAAGGCCAAAGATGATGATGTTCATGATGCTCGAAATTCTGCTCTAATGGCCGAACAACCGTCAACCTCCAGGTCAGTAGAAAAGAATGTTGATTTTATGAATGACGAACAATTTGCTCTTTTTGTTAAAAGATTCAAAAGGTTTATGCGAAAAGGAGACAACAAAAATTCTGCTCGTGTAAAATTTGTCTCTCGCATGACACAAGAAGAAAAAGTCGAAGAAAACAACAATCTATGCTACAATTGCCGCAAACCCGGACATTTTAAAATAAATTGTCCATATCCGATCGTTAGCAAGTATCAAGGCAAGAATGTTGAATCTACGCCGAACAAATCCGATAGCAAAAGGTTCAAGGGCGAAAAAAGAAAAGCTCTCGTTAGCAACGAACCGAATGAAAATGATGATTCGGAGGAATCATCATCAAGCGATGAAAGCTCGTGTTCGGATGATGATACGGCTCTAATATGCAAGTCATTTGAGTTGAGTATAAGTGAAGATTGTTTTATGACTCTTGAAGCAGAGGAAGAAGAGGTAACATCTAATTCTTTTAATTCTATTAATTCCTCTTTTTCTAATGAATCTATTGTCATTCTAATGTGAGATTGTCAAGAGATTATGCTCACTCATCCTCAACTCAAGGAGCGCAATAATATTCTAATTCTTGAAAAAGAAGAAATGAATAAAAATTGCAAGATGCTTTACTTGAAGTGAGTAAGTTGAAGAGTGAAAATATTCATATTCAAGAAGAGTGTAAAGCAAGAGAGGTTAGAGAACATAACCTTCGGGCAACCATTGCTACGTTCACTAACTTGTCCAAAATAATGGATAAGATGGTGAGCATACAAAATCCATCAGGAGATAGAACCGGAATCGGTTATGACTCCACATGTTCTCAAACCCCTCAAAATCTGACTAATTCTACTACTACTTTAAAAAATAAAGTTCAAGTGGTAAAATTTGTTAAAAGTCAGAATAGCACGATGAGACAGGGACTTGGCTATCAAACAAAAGCAAAGTTGAATGTTGAAAGGCCGAAACAAATCTACACTATGACAAAACAACAAAAATTCTTCAAGCAAAGATATGTCAAAGAGTCAAGTGCAAAAAGATTTCATATAAAATAGGGAAGCTTTTCTAGAAATAAAGTTGGGAAATTTCATCCCACTCAAAAGGATTGGTTGTGTAATAGATGTAATGCTTTTTATAGACCAAAGCAACAATCATCTTCCCAGGTGCCAAAATATAAAAATGTTTTTCAAAATCCAGCGCCAAAAATGTTTTCAAAAGTGAGTTATGATTATCGTATCTCTAACGGTTACAAACAGCCTTATCTTAATTCAATAGGATCAAGGTGGGTTTGGTTACCTAAAATCACTAATATTAAAGGAGCCAAGCAAGTATGGGTACCTAAAGTTAATTAATCTTTTTTGCAGGATGTTTGGTACATCGATAGTGGTTGCTCACGCCACATGACTAGAAATAAATCATATCTAGTGAATTTCAAAGAAATCGATGGACCAAAAGTTATATTCGGTGGAAATCAAAATTATGGAATCACAAAAGGAGTTGGCACGATCAAGAAAAATGGATGAAAGATTGAAGATGTTTCTTTCGTTGAAGGATTGAAATTCAATTTGTTGAGCACTTGTCAATTTTGTGAGAAAGGATATCTTGTAGAATTTTCTAAAGATAATTGCCTAATAAAAAATGAGCTCACAAATGAAGTTGTTCTCTCTGGAAAAAGACGAAAGAACATGTATGTTGTTGATTGGAGTACAAGCAAAGATTCAATGTGCTTAATGGCCAGAAATTCAAATGAAGCTAATTGGGAATGGCACATAAAGCTCAACCACTTAAACTTCAAGACTATCAATTAACTTGCAAAGAAGAATCTAGTTGAAGGCTTGCCAGATATTATCTTCAAGAAGGACCAAGTGTGTGATGCATGCCAATGCGGAAAGCAAATCAAATCATCATTCAAATCAAAAACACACGAGTCAACGTCAAGACCGCTAAGCTTACTACACATGGACTTATTTGGACCAGTTGATCCAATAAGTGTAAGTGGTAAGAAATATACACTCGTTGTTGTTGATGATTTTTCCAGGTACACTTGGACCATGTTTCTCAAGAAGAAAAATGAAGTTGAGCAAGTTCTATCGAAGCTGTTGAAGCAACTACAAAATGAGTAAGAATTGCAAATATAAAAAATACGAACGGATCGTGGAACCGAGTTCGTGAACAGAGTTATTCAAGCTTTTTGCAATTCACATGGAATTTCTCATCAATTATCTGCCGCAAGAACACCAAAACAAAACGGTGTTGCCGAAAGAAGAAATCGTACGCTCAGAGAAGCCGCACGAGTGATGATTAGTGCAGCCGGTCTCCCGAAACGATATTGGGCGGAAGCTATCAACACTGCTTGCTACATGCAAAATCGAAGCATGATCCATAAGCAGTACAAGAAAATGCCATATGAGCTACATAAAGGGAGAAAACCAAATATTGGTTATTTTCATATTTTTGGATGCAAATGCTTTATTCATATTAATGATAAATTGCATCTAAAAGCTTTTGATGAGCGTGCAGATGAAGGAATTTTTCTAGGATATTCAGCTGCCAGCAAGGCGTTCAGAGTGTTGAATAAAAGATCAATGGTGGTTGAAGAGTCCATACACGTGGTATTTGATGAAAAATCACAGATCAAAAATGACGCACTCGACGAAGAATTCGAACAAAATGGTAACAAGTGTCATATTGATTTTTGTGATACTAATGATACGTGTGAAGATGATGTTTTGCAGGGAATGGATGAGTTGGAAATTAATTGGATATGCTCAAATTGCATCCATCTCTTCTAAAATGGCTCCTAAAGTCTCAATCACCAAAAAGGTGTCAAGAAAGACCCGAGCTCATCCAAAAGAGGATGAACAAGGCATTCACATTACAGGAAATAATCCTATCAATCCTCTGAACATTTCATCCGATTATGAAATTGAGGACTTTGATGAATTCATCAAAAGAGACGCTGAAGGAGATGCAAGATCTTTCGATCCTAATGAGGAACCCCCTGTAATCGTTAAAAATGGGTTCTTGACATTGGAAGCATGGAACAACACTACTATGGATAGAGATCTCAGTGATTTCTATCGACATTATGATTGCAAATCTGCATTTGTGGGGTATGTGGAAGGAGATTCTGATGAAGAGATACGTCCTAATGGTGGACCGATGCGTCCAAAAGCTTCTACATCAAAGAAAAACTCTAAAGTCACCAAGGGCGAAACCAGTAACACGAAAAAAAGGAAAGGGAAAGAAATGAAATCTCCTGTGTCTTGTGTTCAAATATTGTTCTCTAGCTATGTATTTCTGTTCATCCATGTTTCGTGATTTGTCTTTGAATTAATGAAGGTTTTCTGTCATAAATCTCTGACTACCTGACATTCACACATCTTGAAATCATATCTCTGACCTTGAAATTATGACATTCTTGAAAATGTCAATTCAAAGTCTTCTACACCATTAATGGTCAGTTGAAGAAATACATAGTCATTGATTGCAGCATTGAATGCTGAGAGCAGTTTCACAACGTTATCTCTTCTAAATCTTCCTATACAAGGGGGACTATATCTGGCTTTTCTATACCATTCTCATCCCCACAAATGGCTCCTAAAAAGCCCTTCACAAGGGGAGATTCCAACAAGCTCCGTGAACTCGCAAGACAAATAAGACAAGAGCAAGGAGACTTGTATCCAGGCAATAGCCTTCAAGCACCGTTGGAAATCTCATTGGATACTGAAGAATCATCCCTGTATGACGATATGGCTGGGTTCATTGTTGAAGAGCCCGACGAAAACCCTCAGAGAGAAGCTATTTCATCCCTCCCAAAATCTCCTAAGAATCTCAGCAAGTACCGCGATCCGGACTACATGACTTATCTGCAGAAAGAGTATGAAAATGAAGCAAAGGCTAAGGGGGAAGAACCTGAATCATCTTCGGGTTCCAACTATCCACGTACCGGAAAATGGTACAAGCGTATGTGGGGAGATCTGAAGAAGGCAAAAGCTGAAGCATCTGAGGTCAAGAAAATTGAGAGAAAGAAAAACAAATCCTTCGGATTATGTATTTTATGTTTTGTACTGCCATCTCTCGTTTTTATGAATAATAAAATCTCGTGTCTTTGTTTTTCTTAAAAGAAGTGAACGAAACTTTACTTGTCTCATTCACATCTATCTGAGGCTATCCCGAATCAAGGACAACTTCTTGGAAATGAATTTATTCGGGACATATCTTTAAAGACAAACGGCTCTCTACCTTATGTATTCTCTTACCGATAATGAAATCCGAAAGGAGCTTTGTAAGATCGCTCGAAAGGAGGGGACTGGGATTTCCCTGATATTAAATCTCTCGGGAAATGTATTCTCTTACGATGATAAGAGATTTGTTTGACTTTATTTGTCTTACAAATCTTGCATTATGACAAATTCATCCTCCTTCGGGTTAGAACCGTGCTTGATAAGCCTCATTTGCCTCTGTCTCATTTGAACCGTCAGATAGTTCATCATGGGGATCGTGTGGCCAAGAAATACGGTCCACTACTCCATCATGACTGACACATGAATTGACGTGCATTAAATGCACCCACAGATACTCGAGTACCTTTCTCTCTCCGCATTAAGTATGGAATGATCAAATTTGATCTGCACACGATCTTATCACTCCCCCATGCTCTGATCAGTTACCATATGCAGAAGAGGAGACGGTTAAACTTTTGAAATTCCACTAACACCTCGCCTTTTTCATTACCTCTCAGAAAAAGCTACCAAACTTATTCTCTCAAACACTCTACATTGGCGGAAAATACACAAGCTACATCCTCTGAAAAAGAACCAGAAACCCCTTCTACCCTGGAAGTTCCAAGCTTTCCAACCGAAGACATGCGATTTATTGAATCCAGAGTTCCATTTATTATTGGAGGCAGCATGTGGGATGCCCATGGATTTCTCGAGTACGTGTTAGATCGAAGATTTGGCGAAGATATCATACGATTGCTCATGGAATCTGGATTGTACAGGTTCATTACACATCTCTACACAATACGGTATCCCATCGACGTAACACAGTTCTACATGAATGAATACATATCTTCCAACTCTCTGACCATCACTTCCAGAGTCCACAATCATCAAGTGGTCCTCACTTCTGAAGACATTCGAGCCACCTACGGGTTTCCACAAAGAGATGAGTCTTACAAATCCAACCTTACTTATTATCACTACGATCCGGAAGATTTCTATGAGTCTATCAAGAACAACCAAACCCCTTTAAAGACAGAGATCACGTGGCCATTAAAGAAGAAGTGGTTTCGGATAAATTATGAATTTACAGTTGACATTTTCAATAAGGTTGTTGATCATAAGACTTCAGGCACCAATGATGTGACAAAAGAGAAACTAAAGATGCTGCATGCCTTTCTTCATGAACTTAAGGTTGACTGGTCGAAGATTATTTTCAACAATCTTGTTCACACCATCACCTATCATAGGAAGAGTCCAGGAGACATCAACAATAAACTAGGGTACAGATTTATGATAAGTCATCTTCTTGTCACTAAAGGAGTTTTAATGCGACCAGGAATTCGGCCAGGACCGAAAGCTTGCCACATGAAGTAGAAGCCATCTGGCTATGACAAGCAGAAAGCATTGGAACTGGGGATTCCAGTTGATTTGGTTAAAACCAAACGAAAGTCCAGAATGCCAAAGGCATCCGAAGATGATCAACCCAAGCCAAAACGACAAAGTAAAGAAAAACGCTCCTCTCGGGATAAGATAAAGAGGACTGATGATGATCAACCATTGCCAACACCTCCAAAATCTCCCCAAAGGAAGAAGAATACAACCCCACCTCCAAAATCTCCATCACTGGTAAAAATAGTTGTGCAAGACTCTTCCGAAGAAGACAATCTGATCCTTTCAAGACTTGGTAAAAAGGGTCACTTTCGTTCTCCTGTCAAACCAAAGCATTCCCCGAAGAAAGATACTACACCGAAAGTAGGAGACACGAGAGACGCACCTCCTCAAGGGGAAGTAAGCACGAAAGAAGCACCTCTCCAGGGGGAAGATCAACCGAGAGTTGTCTCACCAGAAAGACCTTCTGATCATCAAGTACCAGAACTTGGTCACATCTCCTCCCCTGTCCCCCATCCACAAGAACCTACTTTAGCAGAGCAACTTCCTCAAGGGTTGACACAACAACCTGCTGATGTAGAAATGGAGGCCAGTCGCTTAAGTCTTCCACAAGAACCTGGTTCTCCAGAAAAGACGAAAGAGGTGACTGATGCAATGATTGAAGTTCCATCTCTACCACAAGAACCTACTAGTGCAGAGTAGGTAAATCGGACACAAGAACCTGCATTGGTAGACGAGACACCTGTAATACCAATAGCAACTCTAGCTATTCCACAAGTAACAACTCCAATTCCCAAAGAAACAGTTCCACCACCATCACGAGATCAAGTGCTCCGAGAATCCATTGAAAGTGACTATCAACGAGTTTTGCAGTGGCAAAAGTGGCACACAGCCCCCTTAAGTACGTTCATTGAAACCTTTGAAGCCATGCAAGACGAAGAACAATTTGCCCTGGAATGGATTGGTACAGATGATGTCTCCAAAGCACTTCGTCTTGAAGAAATACGACGAGTGTTCTCCTACAAGATGACAAATCGAACTCTTGGGAAAGACAAAGCCCCTCTCTGCATTGAACTTAACAAGCCACCATTGGATCTAGCAGTTGAAGAAGAACTAAAGAACCTTCGATATGCCTTGCTGCTATCAAAAGTCAAAACCACTTTAGAGAAAGATCACCATAATGATCCAAACTGCAATACCAGTGGCTCGAAAGATGAGCATGGACGAGAAATTGAGAAAGACGAAAGTGACATGAATGAGGAAGATGAAGATAATGATGACGATGATGTCGAAGATGCAGATGATGAGCATGATGATGATGATGACGATGACAACGATGATAATTTGGGTAATGCGGGAGTCCAATGAGATGATCTGGCCTATGACAGCGATCCTGTAACACCCCGTGTTACGATCCCTAAAATCAATTAAATCATTTAATCAATTACCCAAAAGAAAGAATTAAATCACAAGAATTAATTAGGAAAGGCCCACCATAGTCCACGGGCCCTTATCCCTAAACCCAATCCTTAGTCCCAAAAGAAATAGAATTTGCAAGCCTATAATATTAGTTCCTAACTAGGACTCCGAAATATATAAATAGGGGACTTAAGAGGCACCTAGAACCCCCCCACCACAATAAACGTCCCACCACCCCAAAGAGCTCCAAGAATTCCCTTAGAAGAAATCAAGAAAGCAAGAAAGCTTAAAGAAAGACCCTTCATAGCCAAGGAAATAATTAAGGCTAAGAGGTAATTAAGGCTATGATTCCCCTCTTAGGATTTCCCCATATTATTGTGTATTGATGATTTGTGATATTATTATTGATGATTGGGGGGATGATTTCCATGGGTGATCTTGATGATGAAAGATTCTTGATAATTATGGTGTTCTTGATGATTATATGACGTTCTTGATAATTACATGGTGTTCTTGATGTTCTTAAATGATTATATGAGGTTCTTGATAGTTATATGATATTCCTACCGAATCTTGATTTTGGAGGATGAATTGTGTTCTCGTTGATTTAAAAATAATTAGAACCCTAGGTTATATCGTGGAATTCGTATCGTATTATTCTTGGTATGTTGGGTGGGATTTTGCATGATTGGGTGTATATTATGTTTAGAAAAGCATGATAGGTTATGTGCCGTTTGTTTCCTAATTTTGATCCGTTAATTGTCTATGTGTGTTATCAATTGCGTTTGAAAGTGTCTAAGCTTGGTTTCGGGTTCCACAAAGGTTCCCGGGGCGTTTTTGGTGTAAAAGAGTCAGTGGGGGGGTAGGGGACACGCCACCTACCCGCGGCCAAAAAGGGTAGCTCCGGCAGCGGGCAGCCGGCGGGCAGGCAGCTGCCCGGAACAGTAACGCCGGCGGGCAACCGACGGGTGAACCCTCACCCACCGGCTACCCGCTGGAAAGTACCCCACTTCGGGACCCCGTCTTCCCCGTTTGATGTTTCCCCGACCCCCGTGACGTCCCAACGGACTCTGTCTATCGTGCCTATGTCTAGTTTGATATTTCGAGTACCGTTCGTAGGTTGTATGAGGGTTATATATTGCATGCTAGTTGAATTGGTATCCCGTTGACCTATGTATAAGAAGTATGAACCCCTTAGGAGTATTCCTAGTTGTGGATGACCACGCATAGGTTTCATTATACGTTTTCTTCCCCTTCCCCAATGTGCTAATATGGGTTGCATGCGCTTGCTATATGTTATGTGTGTATGTTACTCTGACTTGGTTGAGATCAATCGGGCTATACGGGCAGTCGGGTGGGCTGAGAACCATACTGGCTATTAACCAGGCTGGTAGAGACCGGTCAGGTATATAAATATTATATAGGACTAAGGTCCACTATACGGGCAGTGGAATGGGTTGAGAACCATCCCAACTGTTGACCAGGCTGGTAGAGACCGGTCAGGTATATAAATATTATATAGGACAAAGGTCCACTATACGGGCAGTTGAATGGGTTGAGAACCATCCCAACTGTTAACCAGGCTGGTAAAGACCGGTCAGGTATATAAATATTATATAGAGCTGTGGCTCATCGGTCGGTTGCGATCGACCCCTCCGTGCTGTGAGACGGGGCAGGGTGCTGCGGGGCCGTGTCAGAGCTATATGCGCTGACCCTCATGTATGGGCATGCGATTGGTCCTGATGCACCAACAAAGTGTGCTACATGAAGAGATAAGAAGGGTTGATGTTGTGACTGTTATAGGGCTCTTGCTAGTATTGCTTAATTATGATTATTGGTTGTGCTTATCCATGACTGTTTCCTATGTGAGAATTGTATATGCTGATTATGACTGTAGATTGTGTTATGATTATTAATTGTGCTTATCTTATCTATCTTGCCTGTTGTAAACTGTATATGCTTGGTATAACTGCTGTCTGTGCTTAGCCCTATCTGTTGAGTCTATCCCTATTTTATAAGCTAGAGTCCGTAGGAGATATCTTCATGCTCAAAATGACTTTTCATATATCTATATACATATCTATATGTATTTTATTTCAACGCGTTGGAGTGGGTTACCAGCATCTCTCACTGAACAGATATATTTGGCTTTCAGGCACAGAAGAGTAGGTCACTGGAGCGCGCTAGAACTTGGAACGTAGAAGTAGATAGTTTCCCTTTCGGCCTGCGTGCCATGTTTATGCGTTTACATTATTGAGGATATTAGTTAGATAGCCTGTGCACCTGAGTTTTCTAGCTCAGGTGTGGCATAGCACCCTGTACACTTGTATTATGTCTTGGGATTTAATGAGATTTCACCTTTATTTTATAAGTTTTAAATATCTTGAAAATCTGGGGTGTTACAGATCCAATATTGATCGCTCATGATTATGATACCTTTCCTCAAAGAACTCCACTTAGAAAGTTGCCCGCTGACAGTGATGACACGAAGGAAGCTTCACACCAAGCCCAACAGATTTCAATTGAACATCCAGAAGATTTGTCTCGTGCAATTGTACCACATATTCCTCCTATGGACGAGACTCCAATCAAGCGTGATGAAGCAACTGAGGGAAAAATGGAAGCCTCACCTATTCTTCTCAGCTCAGCAAGTGGTTGAAAAAGGGAAGCACCACCTAAAGATGAACATATGGACACGTCACAAACAAACATTGAAGAAGGTAGATGTTCTTACAGCCGAGAAGATTCATTTGCAATATTTGGTTCTTCCGCAAAAAGACACGAAAGTATTAGATGACTTATGCAAGAAGGTAGATCTCCTGATGGCTGCACAATCTCAATCTCGACCTCCACCTCCAGAACAGCCTCAACCGCCTCAACAAACTCAATCTGATCGACAGTTCCTTGAGAGGATTGCAAAAACGCTTCATGAGCTTAATACCTCCGTTAACAAAATTACACGGCAGCAACACGAACTCAAGCACTCTCACTTTAGTCTCAAAGAACGTGTTGATTTGTCATGCATGAAGATAGACACCTCACAAGATAATTCCTACCAACTGGGTGAATATGTTCTTCAGATTCTTGGATATACCCAGGACATATTAGTTGCAGTGAATAAGCTTTCCACTGTTCCTCCTACCACCTGTGCCAATGATGCCAAAAAGGGGGAAAAGATAAACAATGACGACAAGGATAAGGATGATGATCATCCAAGAGATAACACGAAAGATCCGTCTCTGAGAGAAACTCCAAAAGCACGACACTCTCCTTCTCGGATACCAAGAGACTCTGGCCGAAGAAACACAAATCCGTCCCATCCAACATCCAGGTCTCGTGGTCACCATTTCTCACAACGAAGATACCATGGACGATATCAATCCAGATCACTCAAGCCTCGCCAATCTTTTGGTTCTAAAGCCAAGTACATCTTCACAGGTCTCTCCAAGAGAGAACAGACGAACCTGAGGCAGAGACTCATGAAGAACAACAAAGTAACTATGGATGACATAGGAAACTTTGTGGATTTTGTACCCTATGAAGAGGGAAGTGGTAAACGTTTTGAGGGTTGCAACGTTCCTGTCTGGCTCAAGACAAAGGACAATTATACAAGGCAAGAGAAAACAGAGAGTTATGGAAGAAACGTGAAGAAGAAGTCAAAAGAAGAGAGGATGAATCCAAGGAAAGAGAAAGAATAAAGAAGCTGATTGAAGACCTTTCAAATGTAACCAAAGACTTTCCACAAGGTGTCATTCACAATGCAGCTTTCAAAGTGCACACTGAGTCGGGAAAGAGCTATCAAGAAAGAATGAACTCGTTCGAACTGATCTCGTGGTGGAAAGCAGGAATAATCGATGGAAGAAACATTCGTGAAGCCTACAACAACTACACAAGTCTGAACATCAAAGGAAAACATGAAGATCTTGTCAAGACAAATTCGATAAAGGTCCTCAAAAAAAGAATTAATGAGGAAATCGACTTCACCAGAATGCTCAAACACCAAAAGGAAAGGGAAGACCGTGAACATGAGGAAGCTGAACAACAGAAGTCAAAACTCTTGGAATTGTAAGATATCCTTTCGTTCTGCTTTCATTATAAATTTTTTGTAATTTTCACCATCTTAATATGAAACTCTCATTGTCACACATCTCGTGTCACTTGTCTGCGTTATTTGTCCTTGTCTTATTTATTAATGCTTTCATCCTAGAAAAGACTTGTACACTCTCAAGTATGGATGCTTTTATAATAGAAAAATTCTTTATGGAACTTTTTATCAGCCTTATAAGAAGAGTATAGGTTTTGGCATCATCAAAAAGGGGGAATTGTTAGGAACCTTGTATTAGGATTTTGATGATACCAATGTAATGTAGAAAGTAGACCCCTAACTATTTACTTTTTCGATTGCTACTTTCGTCTTAGAGGAGAGTTGCCATAACTCCCCTGTAATTCGTGTTAAGCTAGACAAACACACGAAAATGAGTTATGTCTAGTTGATAGGGTCTCCAAGACGAAAGAAGACACAAGGCGTGATGAACAGCAACGAGAATTAATCAGGAGTTGTCAACTATCTCGAAAGGACAGATTTATTAAAGACGATTCTCACCAAGCATTCTTTCTCTTCAACAACGAGAAGAATGTTTTATCTGTCTGACTTGACAACATCCTAAGAATTATAAGGACCTCAACTTGTGGCACACGTTTACCAAGGAGCATTAAATGAAGATGTACCATCTCCTGGAGCTAAAGGACAAAACCCTAATGCTCTCCACACCTTCAACGGCTACATGGTACAACCTCATTAATGGAGCATTTAATGCATGAAGCTCCCCGGTCCTTATCCACTGGTTAAAAGGTTCGAAAATTTCTTCTCCCTCCAACGGATGAATCTTCATCACCTATATAAACCCACCTTCATCAACTAAGAAGGTGCTGGTTCCATTCACTCGATCCATATATGCAAAAGCTCTTAAACGCTCTCTGCTCTCTAAAGCTTTTGCAAACCAGTGTTAAGGTGCTAAGATATTTGAAAAAGTTCATTGATCATCATATTACACCTTAAAGAAATCTTGTCATTTGTTCGAAGCAATCATCTCACACAGTCAAGACTTCATCAAGTCGGAGAAATCAGAAATCATTTTCTACCAACCTCAAATCTGAAGAAGAAGTTGCTAGAGGCGGAGTAAACTCGAGAAGTTGAAAAACCTACGAAGGCTGTCTGGCTTAGTGATCAAGGAAGTCTTTGTGTAATTGTAATAACAAGTGATAGTGCAATCCTTCCATAAGTTGTGGAAGAAGAGTGGAGTAGGCAACGTTAGCCGAACCACTATAAAATTCCTTGTCTCTCTATCTCTTTACTTACGCTTTTCTCTTCTGCATCATATTTTCCTCATCACTATTACCGAAAGCTTTCCTTACAACATAAACTCGTGCAAAGCAAATAATCGAACTTGATATTTCCGCTGCGCCAAAACACCGAAAGGTGGTCTTTAGGGCAAAACACGAAAAGAGTCTATTCACACCCCCCCCCCCTCTAGACTCTCACTACACTCTATCAGGACCAACATCTTTCATGGTAGCAATATGCGAGGTGAGAAAGGTGACTTGCTGTCTAAGCACAGCCAGTGTCGAAGTAGAGCTAGTAGTAGAAGCAGTCGGTGTAGAGTCTATGCCTGTCGTTGGTGGATCAGCTGGAGTAGGGACAAGTGGAATCGATGAGAGAGTGGCCCGATCATCATAATGCGATCTTTGGAAGATGCGAGAGTCCATAGATGTCTTGTGAGTGATATGGCAGAGCTCTTCGTTTGAATAGAGTTGTAGACCTTGTTGTTGTAAAATCCTGGTGATCAGACACGGAAACGGGAGATGAATCTTGGCTTCCTTCTTTTTTGGCAAAGCTCATAATATGATGATAAATAAGATGACCAAGATCAATGGTCAATTGATGCCTAACTTTGTACAACAAAGAAGCCATCTTCTTAGTGACGGTGTGCACAGAGACATTGGAATCCAGTTACTTGATGCTAAACGGAACAGAACAGAGTAAACAGCCGTAAGAACATGGGAAGGAAAACCATCTTTGGGCTAGACAATAACTTCATTTTGGGTAAGGTGCGATGCAAGAAAATCCCCAGTAGGCTCAAACAGATCATCACAAACATCACGCTGAAAGTAAGCATTTATAATAGAGGGATTGAAGTCATACCAAACATCCCTCAAGAAAACATGATGATAGTGCGGAGAAGCTGGGAGGAGAGAATCAGATTGTAGATTTTTTAGAATTTCGGAATTAGCCAAGCAGAGTAAGCACTCACATTCTATATAGTCTAAAGAAGATTCTGGGCACGAAGAAGAGGAATGATGTTGCAAGTGCGGATAAGATACTCAATGCTAAAGTTCTTCTCAACAAAGATGTCTTGACTGGAATGTTGTTGCCATAATGCTTCCAGGGCAGGAGAGACCAAAATTGGTCTGAATAGTGTCTCCTTGGATACCTTAGAGGCCCTGGTATTAGATGAAGTGGCTGGCTTTGGAGCACGAGCAGAAGTTGGAGGAGGAGTTGGTGTAGACGTGCCAGTCCTAGATCTAGTACGCAGAGCAAGGCTAGTCAGACGATGTTCAGAGCGTTTGCTTGGGCGAGTTTCAGACACAAATTCAATATCTTCGGTCAAATTTAATTTTCTCTTAACCGCTGGAGCTGGGACAGGAGCAACTGGAGGTTCATCTGGATCAGTGATTTTGGCCTTCCCTTTGGCCTTAGATGATGCAAACGGCACAGTGATCACTGGGACCGCCATTTGTACACGGGAAGTGTTGGGCATATTGGCAATAAGATCTGACATAATGGCTGCTTGAAAGGAGGGATCCTCAGGCTCAGAGACTATGTCATGAATGGAAACCCCAACATCCTCTGGAACAGAGCCTAGAGCAGAAGCTGGATCAGCAGCTGGAGTAGAGGCTAAAGCAGAGGTTGGATTAGATGAATGCTCAGGCATTGTGGGGATGACCTCTTCTGAGCGGTGTGGTAGAGAACCTGTGAATGCAATTGTAGACAAATGCACAAGAGATAGACCGGCAGAGGGATCCTAAGACAAAAATGCATAGCAACAACACATAGCAACCAAACACAGCCAAAGAGATAAAAGCAAATTAGAACAAAAAAGATGGATGCATGCCTAGAAAAAAGCAACAAGTGATTGCTTCCTAAGAGGATACAGAAATAAAACAGTAGATTAAGCCCTTAGTTGTCGAGCCCGAAGCTCTGTTTGAAGATCCCCTTCGTTGAACTCCTCATCAAGAGGCCAGGGATCATCTGTGATGCCCGAAGCCCTGGCAAAGATTTCCTTTGAGTCTCTCACGGTCAATTCTTCCATTAGAGATGGATGGCGAAGTAGAGTCGCAAGAACACGGCGAGAGGAGAGATCAGAAATAGGAGCTGTGCCTCGAATGATTTGGCGATAAAGATCCAATCGCTCATCCTCAGTCAAGTAAAGAAGGAAATGATTGAGATCAGAATGACTAGCCATGTGAGAGAGTACGGGATAACAAGTAGATTTGATGGAAGATTTTGTCATGGATTAGAATTTTAGAAGGCAACTTTGAGAAGAATTAAAGGAAGATGGGAGAGATTTTAGGGATTTGATTCTAAAAAAGGGGGAAGGAGACGGTGGTGTATAACAGTCAGGAGAGAGGAAAAACAATAGAATAAAAAAAAAGGCGAGACTTTTAGTGCGGTCGGATGACTCGTTAGACGGTCTGGAGAACTGACTGGAGCAGAGAGCAAATCTGGAGGATTTTCTAGATTATATATGCAAGGAAAAAAACAACACAAAACACAAAAAAACAAAAAAAAAACAAAAAAAAAAAACAAAACAAAACAAACCAGAAAAAAAACAAAAAAAAAAAAACAAAAGCTTTATTTAAAAAAAATATATATATATATTAGATGGAAAACCTGCGCACTCCAAGAGCAGCCCGGAGTAACTCAAATCTCGTGTTATCAAGAGGTTTTGTAAATAGGTCAGCTAGATTTTTCTTCGTTGAAATGTATTCCAGGTTGATCTCTTTGTCTTCTACCAATTCTCTTATGAAGTGATGTCTTATTTCAATATGTTTAGTACGTGAATGCTAAACCGGGTTCTTGCAGATATTGATAGTACTGGTATTGTCGCAATAGAGTGTCATGCACTCTTGATGTAGACCATAATCTAGAAGCATTTGTCTCATCCATAGGAGCTGCGTACAACATCTATATATTCGGCTTCATCTGTGCTGAGAGATATCAAATTTTGTTTCTTACTTAGCCAGGCAACTAAGTTTTTTCCAAAGAAGAAACACCCACCAGAGGTACTTTTGCGATCATCGGCATTTTCAAGCCCAGTCGGCATCATTGTATCCTACAGGATTCAAGTTAATTTCATTTGAAAACCAAATGCCGTAATTGAGAATACCTTTGACGTATTTAATTATTCTTTTCACGGCTTTGAGATGTTATTCTTTAGGGGCAGCTTGAAATCTGGCACATATTCCAACACTCAGCATAATTTCTGGATGACTTGCTGTTAGGTATAGTAGACTTCCAATCATGTTCCTTTATAGAGTAGGATCAATTGGCTTTCTTGATTCATCTTGGTTTGATTTTGTAGTTGCATATATTGGCGTTCGTGCTTCTTTAGCTGACTCGAGTCTAAACTTTGTTAGAAGGCCATTTGCATATTTTTCTTGAGATATAAAGATACGTTAATTTGTTTGTTGAACTTGTAAACCTAGGGAATAGGTCAGTTCACCGATCATACTCATTTCGAATTCTTGTTGCATGACTTGAACCAGTTGATCTATAACACCTGTTTGAGTGGAACCAAATATAATATCGTCAACATAAACCTGAACAATTGTAATATGTTT